AAAACTGTAAGTAAACACATCTCATCTCAAAATATGGAGTCAAAGGATACCCGAATAAGAATTCTATTAAATGAAGAGAATCGATTTTAGATTAAGCGAACGATGTGGTGCACTGATTGCAATACTTCTTTTCGAACTATTTTTCATCTTAACTTATCCATGGCAATTTCTGGGTGGCACAATAAGAATTAAAGACGGTAAGAAAACATTTTCTCCCGAAAATAAGTTTAAAAAAATTGTATAAGATTGTTTTATTTAAAACAAAAATATTCCATAATTCATTCACTCATTCTCCTTCTACTGGAGAGGCAGAAACACTCAGGACTCTTTCGAATGGAGCACTCTTTAATTATGGTAAATTTTGGGCAAATCAAGAATGATTTTGTCCTTGTCGTTAAATTGCGTGGTTATGGTAGATGTACTTAATCGTCGCCGCAAAATAGGGGCAAAAGAAGTATCGACGAGATACATTCACGAGACAGCATCGAAGGAAGACGTCGAGTAATTTCGGAAAATGCAGCATTCAGATAGCGTCCACACCGCTTGCCGCCGTAACGAATAAGAATGAATGCCCTGCCCAAACAGCACGATAATACGGACAAAAACAGAGACATGGGGAGGAAGCGGGAAAAGTAATAAAGCTTCACGGGAACAATTCACTGTTTACTTATGGGAATTTAACGTGCTCTTTCTGGAAAATAGGGCTTTTGATGCATAAAGAAAGAAATGACTACGACCATAGCTCTTGCGAATAATTCTTTTTTTTTTTAGTGACAACTAATGCGACAGGCTGTGATGCGGTTGTTTATGAATGGTGTGCTACGTCACATGCAGTAAGTCCAATTGTATACATTGCATCAATGGTCGCTGTCCTCGGAGTGGCTATTACACTGATCACTATCACTATTGACACTCTGTATTCGAAAATTCTTGGAAACATTGAACAGGTTACCAAATATAGCTTTTTTGCACAAACTCATCTCTTTAACACATAGCTTACTATCTTTTCCACTCACGTTTTTCACTGCAACTTCTATGTTGGGTACCATTCAATAACGAAAGGTAAATGATCACTCGAGCAGCCCCGACGAGGTGACGCACATATATCGAACAAGCGGGAGGTACTGACTGTGGATATGCAGCCCAGGATCGAAACGCCTGGCATAGTTACGCCCGGCGTGTGGGAAGAAAAATTCCAGTAACTTGGGATATTCACACTGACTGTCCGGACGGCCTTGGTATTCTTGCTAATACTACATTGCAAATAGTCCAAAACTTCAGTTATACCGATCGTTGCCCTATTCCCTTTATTCCTTACGTTTCCTTAAGTATTCATTACACACCAATGACAACCCCATATGGCTAAAAATTTACTTCTGAGCTGCAGCAAATGAAAAAAAAAAACGTCAGGATCGCCAGCAAGCTGACCATGAGACAACTTATTGGTCAAAGCAACTGGAAAAGTTGCCAGCTGCACAGCTGAAAAAATGCGCTATAATTGTAGCTGATCAAAGCGTGCAAGCAAAAACTGGCAAAATATTCAGACTGTATCAGTTAGCAATATTTAGCTTTTCAGACGGCTCATTAAGTTTGACTACCTGGGATGATGTTTCAGGGAACAATGCAAGGAGTGTTTCTTTTTGGCCAAGATATTATTAGTGTTTGCGGGCCACTTGTTATCGCGTAAGTTCTGTGGATTATTAGTAAGAAACGACTGAGTTTTATCATTGAAAATCCGCCAAAAGTCGGCAAAGTAGCCGCCAGAAGCAGGAAGATGTATACTGCCAGTGGGGAGATAGCCAAGAAAAGAAAGGTGTATTCTCTCTTAAAAGCGAAATAGTTATGCAGGAAATGAGCTAACAGGCTGATTAAAATGCACAAGAACCGGTGATGTAGTTGGTAGCATGTCGCGTCCGAATGTGGGGTAGTTCGATTCCCTATCGATCCATAAGGATTTCTGACGGATGATTCGTCCACGACAAGCTCATCTTTTTTGGCCTTTTCAAAAAAAGGAATCAAGGCTTCTTGATTAAAACAATTTCTCCGAAAAGCGCCCATTTAGGTAGGTAGCAAGTATCAAAAGAAACTCCCGTTGGTAAAGCTCCCTCTTTTTAAGGCTGATATCGCTTTGACTCTCCGCATATATCAGTTTACCACAGAAATGTATGAGCGGATAGTAGAAATACTGATTTCCGGTTCCATATTACATACCTAATAGCAAAACTATTTGATTTTGACTGGACAAGAATTTTCAGGCCAGCGTTCACGGGTTCAGGACAAAAATACATTTGGCTAGTTGTTGGTATTCTTATAGCGGCTGTTTGCATACGATGGATTGCCATCTACAGAAAGTTACCAAAATCTGAAACAGTCGCCAGCAAATGGCTGAAGAAACGGCGTACGTCAACCTGAAATCACTAGTTAGCCGTACTCGAGCAGTACCAGTCAGTGCCTGTTACTGGATCGGAACAACAAGTGCAGGCGTATGAGATCTCAGCAAAATCCGGATCCACGTGGTGCTGAATCTGGAAACCAGCATCCGGAGTAGCCTCATATTAACAACCGGAATTGGTCCTCGAACAGAGTTTAGTGAATAAAACGAAATTTGTATTAGAATTTTCAATTGCCTTTTTACCTCAATTCTTCTGAAATACTGCCTTATAATGTGCGCTGATGTATAATTTTTCTTCTTGCTATAGGTCGCGTGTCCGACTGCTGTAGAATGCAGAATTAGTGCTTGAAAAAGTCTAGCGAATAAAGCGAAATTTAGTCCAAAATTTTCAATTACATTTTTTTTACTTCGAATTATCTGAGCTACAGCCATCTGGAGTACATTGAGGTACGGTAGCGTAATTTTTCTGCCTACGGTAGGTTGTGTTTTCTGTGCTGTTAGAGATAACTACGGATATCAGTGGGACGCCTTGAGATAAATTCTTGATTCAGGTTATTTTAGCAGGACTTTTTACAGCAGTACCACAGTGTGGGCCAGCGTAGTAGCTATAAAGGAAATAACGTGAGAAGGGGATAAAAAAGCAAGTGAGTGTAGTCTAAAAAGCGTTTTATTTAACGACTACTGCAATTATTGCAGGTGTAACCTCAGTGCGTGTGTCGAATTATTAAAGGTCGAGAAAAATTTTCCTGTAATTTAATGACTGCCACCACATACCTGCCAAAAGTGAAAAAATTCGAATAATCCATCCAGTCGAATTGGGATTTGTTCTTGAGTTATGTGACTCACGTACATTTTGGGTAGCTTAGGCCCACATGTGACGTGGGGATGCAACATAACAAATTATACTGCAAGGTGTAAATGACACTTTTTGAAATTTGCAAAAAAAGCGGTTTTTTTGAAACGAAGTCTCATGTATGTTTTACTCATTGCTAATTAAATTTACAAATTAATGTAAATATAAATTTATAGAATGTTGTTTTTGTAATTTGCCTAATGTTTTGTCTACAGCTAAGGGATGAAAAACAGACTACCCCCAAGTGCCATAACGCTCTACTCTTTTGAACAGCTTATTCCCAGCTTCATGGGCTACATCTTGTCTTGGAACCGTTCGGTTCCTTCCATTCAATCATAAATAGCGACAATAATGAGATGTATCCATCAGCTCACAATTTTAGTCAAGTATAGCTTATAGGTTCGTTCTCAAACTATGTAGCTAACAAATTTTCCAAGTGCTCTAACCAATACTGCATCGCTTTAATGATGATCCTGGTTTTTTTGATTCGTCCACTGAGGTGAGCCAGCTCAACGATTTTGACAGAAAACACTCTGGCAGGATTTTCGCTGTTTAAAAATCCAGACACATGTTGCAAATCACTGCATTTATAAGATAAGGTGATTTTGTGCTACCTAGCCCTCTCAGGTCTTGTTTCGAGATGCTCTTAGATATATATTTACTGAAATGAGAATCTGGGCATCAAATCCTACATGACCTTATTGCCGTGGAAGACCCGCGAAAAGCCGGCAACTGTTGACAGGGCGAACGCAGCGTACATACAGAATGTAGGTGTTCCAGCAAATAAGCGTTGCCAGTTGCACCACGTCAGCCGGTGGTGTAGTGGTCTAGCACGTCGCGCCCGGATGCGAAGACAAGTGGTTCGATTCCTTCACGGTCTACAACTTTTCTCAAAAAAACAACTTCCATCGCGGAACTGGAGAATCAGTAAAGAAATGTGCTCCTTTTTTTTTTTTCTCCAACTTCGTACCAAAAGTAAAACATTTCGATAAAGTTACTAACTAAAACTTACAATATTTATGGATTATGTTCCTGTACGAAAAGCAAATTTCTGTAGCTTGTATTTGAAAAATAAGTAGAGACTCAAGTGAAAAATGCAAATTTTTATATTAAAAAAATGCAAATCTTCACGTTTAGGATAAAAGATGACAAATAAACCGTCCAAGTCTGTTTCAACTGGAAAAACACGAATCTTTTCCAAAAAGTAATATTTCCAGCTCTTTTTTGTGCTTCTCCGCTTTTAAATCACATTAATAAAACAAAAACTGCCATCAATTCTGACCCAGCGGCAGCAATTATTTTTGAATGCTCACCAGAACCCAGAATTTGAGAGAAATCGAGGGCCTTAAAAATTCTTCCACATCGCACCTTGTAAAAAACAACTGATATGCATTTAGCTTGTCTCTTAACACATTTCGTAACCACATGTAGCTAACAGCAAAATTTTTGACGGCTTTCTTTCTCAAAAACTACTAACGTTTTTGAATGTATATCTCATTTTCCAGTTCCAAATGTTACTTATTATGAAATGAACTGCACAACAATTTTTTTTTCGAATTTTTTCATATTTTTGAATCATTTGACAGAAGAACCCAGGCTGGAACGCACCAGGCGGGCCGGTGCGATTATGCGTTTTTGCACTTCTCGTG